AGGCACAAGGCCTGGAGTGGGCACAGGCAGCTGGGAGGCTCTGCTTGACTGGGGCTGAGTGAATGGGAGGGGGGTGGCAGAAAGGGACACCGGAGAGGCAGGTAGTCAGTCAAGCACCCGCAGCCTCTGGATTTGCCTCCTGGGGCTGCAGTAACAGAGCGCCACAACCTGGGGATCTTCCAACAACAGAAATGTGTCTTCTCCCAGTTCTGGGGGCTGGGAGGCAGAAATTGAGGTGTCAGTGGGGCCATGCTTCCTCTGCTGGTGCTGGGGGGAACGCTGCCTCCGTCTTCCTGCTTCTAGTGGGTCTCAGCAATTCCCCAAGTCTCTGCCCCCATGGTCACAGGGCTGTTACCACATTGTCTCCCCTCTGTGCACGTCTACCTGTGTGTCTGGATTCCCCCTTCCTCTCTTGTTTTTGAGACAGGGTTTTACTCTGTCGCTCAGGCTGGAGTACAGTGCTGCGATCAGAGCTCACTGTAGCCTCTCACTCCTGGGCTTAAGCGATCCTCCCACCTCAGCCTCCTGAGTAGCTGGATGGGAGGATCGCTACAGGCACATGCCACCATGCCCAGCTCATTTGAAAATTTTTTCGTAGAAAAGAAATTAGCCAGGCGTGGTAACTCACGCCTGTAATCCCAGCTACTTGGGAGGCTGAGGCAGGAGAATCGCTCGAACCCAGGAGGCAGAGGTTGCAGTGAACCGAGATCGCGCTATTGTACTCCAGCCTGGGCAAAAAGTGAAACTGTGTCTCAAAAACACACAAAACAAAACAAAATAAAACAAATTTGTAGGACATAGTCTCACTGAGGGACCCAGGCTGGTCTCAAACTCCTGGCCTCGAGTAGTCCCTTCTGCCTCCTGGAGGAGGCTGAGGTGGGAGGATCGCTTGAGCCCTGGAGTGAGAGGCTACAGTGAGCTATGATCACAGCACTGCACTCCAGCATGAGTGACAGAGTAAAACCCTGTCTCAAAAACAAGAGACGGAAAAAAAAAAAGTTACTGAGCTTTCTGGGACGTGGTTGTTGGTTTCCATGTGGCTGTTTTCCCCCGGCTTTGTATCAGGAAAATGTTCAAACAGAAGCAAAGCAGTGACCCCATGTCTGTACAGCCCTCGGCTATCCCCGTTTTGATCTTGTCCCCACCCCCTCCCCATCCTAAGTTATATTTGTACCCTTTCTGACTTTCTGCAGGCTTTTTAGGCAAGTTATGGTACAAAATCCAGCTTTGTCACTTGTAGACATTGTGACTTTGGACCCATGACACCATATCCCTGGGCCTCGCTTTTCATTTATAAAATTGGGGGCTGGGCACAGTAGCTTGCGCTTGTAATCCCAGCACCTTGGGAGGCCGAGGCAGGCAGATCACGAGGTCAGGAGATCGAGACCATCCTGGCTAACACAGTGAAACCCTGTCTCTACTAAAAATACAAAAAATTAGCCAGGCGTGGTGGCACGCGCCTGTAATCCCAGCTACTTGGGAGGCTGAGGCAAGAGACTCACTTGAACCCAGGAGGCGGAGGTTGCAGTGAGCTGATATTGTGCCACTGCACTCCAGCCTGGGTGACAGAGCAAGACTCTGTCTCAAAAAAAAAAAAAAAAAAAAAAAAATTGGGATGACACCTGGCAACTGCCTGAGCAGCAAATGTGTGCAAAATGCTCTGCGCCGTGCCTGGCAGATGCGGCTGCCAACCAGCCGTGTGCCTGAGACAAGCCCTGGCAGCCTCAGACCTGGGCCCTGGCCCACAGCTGTTCCTGTCCCTGGCAAAGACGGGTATCCTTGCTAAAGTCACTCGTCAGCCATACCGGGCAGGGTGGTGGGGGCCCTTGATCCAAAAAACCTGCCTCTCAAGGGATGTCTGTCTGTGAGTATCTCACAGCTCCTTGCGCAAATGTTGACATGTTAACAAGAAGTCAAAATTCAGGGCCCTTTAAGGAAGCTTCTAGGAAGAAACAACTGAGGAATCAAAGAGAAGAAGTGAAATGACAGTCAACAGTGGGCTGATAAAAGCCACATAGGGCAATGCTGCGCCAGCTTCCTTGAGTATTCACATCTGCCGGGGTCTTGGCGCTCTGCAGGCTGGAGCCGGCCTGGGGCTCTGTGTCTCTAGCAACCCCTGCCCTGCCAAGAGCCACAGCCCACAACTGGGGCAGTGAGGGCAGGGGGCAGACTGGGACCTGCGGGTCCCCCTGCATGCTTTCATATGTCCTGTGAGCTAAGAGTGGGTTTTACATCACCATTATTATTATTATTATTATTATTTTGAGATGGAGTCTCGTTCTGTCTCTCAGGCTGGAGTGCAATGGTGTAATCTTGGCTCACTGCAATCTCCGCCTCTTGAGTTCAAGCGATCCTCCCATTTCAGCCTCCCGAGTAGCTGCAATTACAAGCGTGTGCCCCCACGCCCGACTAGGCTAATTTTTGTATTTTTAGTAGAGACGAGGTTTTACCATGTTGGCCAGGCTGGTCTCGAACACCTGGCCTCAAGTGATCCGCCTGCCTCAGCCTCCCAAAGTGCTGGGATTACAGATGTGAGTCACCACACCTGACCGGGTTTTACATTTTTAAGTGGTTAAAAAAAAATCAAAATAATCTTTGTGACACATTCAAATTTCAGTGCCCATGAAGTTTCGTGGGAACGGGCACGCCTGCCCTTTATTACTGTCTGTGGCTGCTGTCACAGGGCCGAATTAAGCCGCCGTAACGGGCCCCTCCCCGGGGCCAGCAGAGCGCAATGTTCCCTCTCCAGCCTTGACCCAGGTCCCGCCTGTGCCCCGCGTCGCTGCAGCCAGCAGGGGGCAGCAGAGAGCCATGCACACGCCCGGGCTGCGCAGGAGCCGCAGCGGGGACGCGGAGGATTTGCGTCCCGGGCTGAAGCGGAGGTTTCCTAGCTGGGGTCTGAGATGTGGACCTGGGGTAGAACTGCCCACGGGGGATAGCAGGAGGAGACGGGGTGGGGGTGACAGTAATCGTGCAGACAGGGCCGGCCTCATCCGGGTAGGCAGGGCAATAAGGGACAATTTGTTTGCTGGAGTGAAAGGGCAAGACCTGCAGGCAGGCGGGAGGAGAGTGACCCCACAGGGTGGGGCACCCTGAAGGCCACGTGGGCCTGGACTTCAGGCCGCGCCATAGGGAGTCACTGAAGGGCTCCAGGCGGTAACTTGATAGCCTCGGATTCTCGAAGAGGGATGTGGCTTTTTGGTGACTGTGCCTCAGGACGCTGTTGCTACAACCAGGGACAGAGTGACAGTGAGGGCTGAAAGGCAACATAGGGCAGGAGGGACCCGGGGCAGTGTGACAGCGAGGGCTGTAAGGCCATGTAGGACCGGAGGAACCCCGGGCAGTGTAACAGTGAGGGCTGTAAGATCACATAGGGGGGCGCCTGGGGGCAGGGTGACAGGTGAAGTCTGGAAGGTCACGTAGAGCAGAGGGACTCGCAGCAGGGTGACAGGGCTGTAAGGTCAGGTAGAGTGGGGGAGCCTGGGGACAGGGTGACAGATGAGGGCTATAAGGTCACATAGGGCATGGGGGACCCGGGGACAGGGTGATAGTGGTGGCTGTAAGGCCACATGGGGCGGGGGGACCCAGAGACAGGAGCATCCTGTGGTAGATCGCGGCCCACAGACTGCTCTGCGCTGGTTGTCCCAGGTCTGTGCTTGCCCCAGGATGGGCAGGATGAGCAGTGTGGCTGTTTTTCTTCTTGCTTCCATTGCCAGCACACTGCAGTCACGCTGTCTCTTTTTTTGCTTGGACCTGGATGTTTTCTCCAAGGGTGCTCCTGCAGGTGCCAGCTTTCGTCCATGACCAGCTGGTCCTACTAGTTGAGTGCTCGGGCTTCAGGCAAGGCTGTGTTGTACCTTTTCGTTGTGTCTGAAGTATATCTTAATGGGGAGGGGAAGGGTCACAGGTGCCTGATAGAATCCGGTGAAAGCCAAATGTCCCCCCGATGAACCCCAGAAAATGCACACAGGAAGGTGGCCTCGGAACTGTAGCCATGATTTCAAACGCTCCTGCACTCCCTGTGGCCAGCCTGGCTAAGGACCCCGACCTCGGGGCTGCCTTCTTCCTTTGAGGCTTGGGGCTTGGTGTGGAGAGCTTAACATCAGATGCTACTGGCCCTCCCAACGGCCAGCCCATCTGATTTTCTCACTGTCTTGTGTCCTTCAGTGCGTCTTATGGAAGTGATGCTTCTGTATGTAAATGGTTTTTTGGAATGGCTAAAATCCCCCAAGCACACGGCACAGGAGCTGGACTGCCTCCCAGGCTGGCAGGCCTGGTGTTCTGGTCTGTGTGTTGGGCAGAGTGGAGCCCTCTGGGAACCTCCCTTAGCAGGAGAATGCTGCTTCCCAGCCCCTTCCTGGGGAAGGACTGACCTCTTCCTATGCATTTGGCTGGGAAACACTGTGTTCACAGAACTGGGAACATGCTGAGTTTTATTTCTGGGCTCTTAACACATCATAAAAACCCCTCTTTTCTTGAAACAAAAAGAGTACTATATCAGACGCAGTCTTATTTAGGAAATTATTAGCCTCTATAACTAGAAATAAGTAGATTACAGTTTTTAAAAGATTAATTTAATCTTCATCACAAGGCAAGTTTAGGAGAATCGATTCATTCCATTATGAAATGTTTCCAAAGGATGAATGGAAGATTTAGAAAATCTAATCCAATATCAACTTTTAATAAAAGTAGTCATTCCCAACAATTATGGTTTCATGATGTGTGTGTGTTTAAATGACAGCTTTAGGGGAGTTTAATTTCCGTAACATAAAATGTATCTTTTCAGCATACAGTGCAATAATTTTGAGTAAATTTACAAAGTTTTACAACCATCTCCACACTCTAATTCTGGAACATTTCTACCATCTCCAAATGATCTCTTACTTTTTAATCACTAGAAATGATACTGGAGAAAATAATTGTAATCTATTATTTCCTGTATTTACATCAGCTAAGTGCTATTCTTAATAATAAACGCCCTCTATGGATATCTCTTGCAGGCAAACATGAGACAGTTGGAGGGCAGCTCTTGCAATCTTATCAGAAACTGAGGTGAGTGTTACAAAGGACAGACCGTCCCAGGCCCTCTGGGGCAGGAGCGCAGAGGACACTCTGCAAGAACTTATAGGTCTCTTGACTTTCACATGTCACTGCTTTGGAATGTAACTCTTTTTTTTTTTTTCTTTTAAAGATAAAGTTCCTGAAAAAGATTAAAGCAGAGATGTTTCCAGATTCTCATGAGAAACCTTCTAGCTAGCATAGTATTTTCTCACTAAATATTCAGCTCTACTTCTTAAATTCTCCTGAAATGTCATAAGGAAACTAAATATTATGTTTAATTGCACATTAAGTGAAATTCTAAGGCAAGCATTTGCTTTGATTAATTATGCCTATCTCTAACACCTTACGCAGTGCCTGGCACGTTAAGAGATATTGGTGGAATAAACATTGATAGACTTGAATAATGGCCTGAGAGATGTGAACTTCTTTGCATGAAATTCTAAAAACTGAGCAGTCACGAAGCCGGCCATAATTCACACACCTGATTACACTCAATTTATTAATTTATTAAAGTGTTTCTGAAAGCTGCCCACCAGCTGCTATTTTGTTGGGTCCATGATGAAATTTTCCAGTATCAAGACTTTTTCCTTTTTTTTTCTCCCGTATTCTTTCCCATTTCTTTTAGCACAAGCTTCCAGTTTGCTTTGTGGTTGATTCTCACATCCACAACATTTTTGGCGCTTCTGCTGGTGTGGTTTGTGCTCAGAGTACATGGGAGCGCCGATGGGAGCCAGGGGTTTCCCCGCAGCCAGGTGGCGGGTCCAGGCCGGAGCACCCAGGCCGTTTCAGGACACGTGACTGAGCAGAACGGAGTACCCAGATTTTAGGCAGCATCACCCTCATATAGATACCAGGAAATCATGCCCTTCAAAGAGCAGCAAGTCCAAGCAGGGCTGCTGGCTATTCTTCCAAAAAGTGAGGCAGTTATAAAAAAAAAAAAAAAAAAAAAAAAAAAAGGCGGAGAACTAGAATTATAGAATAATGGCACATTTTGTGTATTCGTAAAACTAATGACTTGCATAGTTCACAACCCATTTCTTATTCCTGTATTTTCCTTGGCAGCAAAATTTCTGTGGTTCCTCCTACTCCACCTCCTGTCAGTGAGAGCCAGTGCAGCCACAGTCCTGGCAGGGTAACGTATCCATTCTGGGCACTTCTCTAGTAGGGGGTAGGGGATAGAAGGAGAGGAAGCAGGGGAGCTTTGGAGGCTGAGGCTGGGCACAGAACCTCCCAGCTAAGGGATTTGACTGTGCCTGGAGCGGGTCACAAAACGGGATGGGGAGTGAGGGCCCTCAAGGCTGGACAGAGCTTCTCTCCTCCTTCTGGTCGTGGGACCCTCTGTGTCATCAGCGACCCCTTCTGCCTGCACGCGAGGTCTCTTTACTCTTGGCATGGCATCGGCCCTCTTCCCCAACTCTGCTCTGTGCTGGGCGTGTGTGTAGAGTCTCTGGGGTCTCAGGGGAAATAAGATTGGTTACAGGTGTGTGAGAGTGGGAGTGTCTCTTTTGAGTGTGTGCAGGCTCTAATGTACAGTGGACCAGCACCATTTCTGTCCAAAGAAATTAGCTGTGCCATCTTGGGGCAGTTACCTGGGTTTCCCACCTGAGAGGCGGAAATAATTTTACAGGTGCTGCCTGACTCACGATGGGGTTATGTCCCAGTACACCCATAGTAAATTGAAAATATTGTAAGTCAGAAATATATTTAGCTAGGCGCGGTGGCTCACACCAGCACTTTGGTGGGTCACTTGAAGCTAGGAATTCGAGACCAGCCTGGCCAACATGGTGAAACCCTGTCTCTACTAAAAATGCAAAAAGTAGCTGGGCATGGGGGCAGGTACCTGTAGTCCCAGCTACTCTGGAGGCTGAGGCAAGAGAATTGCTTGAGCCTCAGAAGTGGAGGTTGCAGTGAGCCAAGTCCCACTGCCCTCCAGCCTGGGCAACAGAGCAAGACTCCATCTCACAAAAAAAAATTGTGTTTAATACACACCTAACCTACCAAACATCACAGCATAGCATAGCCTGCTTAAATGTGCTCTGAAGGCTTGCGTTAGCCTACAGTTGGACAGAATCATTTAATGCAAAACCTATTTTATAATAATAAAAATGTTACTAATAATACAAAATAGAAAAGATCAAAATGCAAATTACGGTTTCCACTGAATATATATTACTTTCACACCATCAAGTCAGAAAATTGTAAGTCAAACCATCGTAAGTCAGGGAGCGTCTGTATTTGTCTGGCTTGCCTCCCATGGCTGTTGTGAGAAATTAACAAAATAATGTCTGTGTTGGTACTTGGAAAACTGTAAAGTGCCATGGAAATATATTGTCTTGGTTATCTTCATTATTCTATAAATTAAAGGCAGCAGGTATATATGGGAGAATACAGGAGCTGATCATAATCCCAGAAGGCATAGTTCCGGGTGTCATCATCCTGAACGCTGGAATCCTGAAAGATCAAAATCCCAAAAATATAATTCTAGAAAATCTAAAAATTATTTTGAAGAAATGTATTTAAAATTTTTAAAGGGGGGCCGGGCGCGGTGGCTCACACTTATAGTCCCAGCACTTTGGGAGGCCGAGGCGGGCGGATCACGAGGTCAGGAGATCCAAGACTACCCTGGCTAATACGGTGAAACCCCGTCTCTACTAAAAATATAAAACATAGCCGGGCCTAGTGGCAGGCACCTGTAGTCCCAGCTACTCGGGAGGCTGAGGCAGGAGAATGGCGTGAACCTGGGAGGCAGTTTTTGCAGTGAGCCGAGATCATGCCACTGCACTCCAGCCTGGGTGACAGAGTAAGACTCTGTCTAAAAAAAAAAAATTTAAAGGGGATTTGAGAAACATATAAAAACATAGCAACAGTCTGGGCAACATAGCAAGACCCCATCTCTACAAAAAATTTTAAAACTAGCTGGGTGTGGTAGCACATGCCTGTAGGCTCAGCTACTCAGGAGGCTGAGGGAGGAGGATCCCTTGAGCCCAGGAGGCCAAGGCTGCATTGCGCCACTGCATTCCAGCCTGGGCAACACAGCAAGACTGTCTCTAAACAAACAAACTAAAAACAAAAACCGTGACAGAACACTTCATTGGCCACTTTACACAATACATAGGGGAAAAACAGCATGCATATTTTTACAAGCATAAACACTCAGATATACTAATGACAGTCACATGGGTATAACAATTATGAACAGCTGAACTATATTCATAAAGAAATACATCAGAGAAGTGTAGAAATGCATATTACTGTGGCCGGTGTTGTGTGCATCCAGCTTTGTAACTGAAATATTGTCATGAACAACAGTATTTTTCAAACAGTCATTTGATGAGATGGATCAAAAACCGCCATGGGTCACCATTGCATATGCAGTCACCCAAGCAACTGAGATCTCAAGAAATTTTATCTTTTGCAAATACAGATGTACAAAAAGGAGATCTCTTCACTTAGGAAATATCAACATTTTTATGTACAGCTCAAAGTCATGGTGTGATGACGTACTTCGAAGCATGGAGTCAATTAAAAAAAAAAAGTACATAACAGAAATTAAAACTCTCTAAAAGTCTCTGCAATTTTGACCTCCAGCATGGGAAATGATGAACTGCATAGCATAGCAAACTGCTGTGTGTGAAGGGGCAGCGCTCATACACAACTAAAGTAAATAATTTGGCAGGGGAGATGTCTTGTAGTTTTTTGCTTGTGTTTTTACTTCTAAGATCTGTGAAACACTCGCTGCACTTGTATTGAGAGAGTGGTTGTGGTCTAAGCATTTTTTTTTTTTTTTGAGACGGAGTTTCACTCTTGTTGCCCAGGCTGGAGTGCAATGGTGTGATCTTGGCTTATCACAACCCCTACCTCCTGGGTTCAAGCAATTCTCCTGCCTCAACCTCCTGAGTAGCTGGGATTGCAGGCATGCACCACCATGCCCAGCTAATTTGTTTTGTATCTTTAGTAGAGACGGGGTTTCACTATTGGCCAGGCTGCTCTTGACCTCCTGACCTCATGATCCGCCTGCCTCCCAAAGTGCTGGGGTTACAGGCGTGAGCCACCGCACCCGGCCAGGTCTACGCATTTTGTAAGCACATGCTGTCCATTTGAAAGGCTGGTTCTTGCTCAATCATGGTAATTAAGCCATTTCCTGCCTTTGCAGCACCAATACTAATTAGTTTTTAAACTTTTACCATTCATTATCAAATAACCTTATACTCATATCACAGGCTTTTTGGTGAAGGAACCATTTCACAGATCTCTTCTGTTGTGCTGTAAGGAATACAATAAGAAGGAATGATAGTTGACTTCCTCAATACCAAATCTGTATTAGGGTTCTCCAGGTAGACACAGCCAATCGGATACGTATATAGATATATGAGAAGGGTCTTACTAGGGGAATTGGCTCACGTGATCGTGGCAGCTGAGAAGTCTCTCCGCAGGCCATCTGCAGACTGGAGACCCTGGGATACCAGTAGCGTGAGTCAGTCCAAGTCCCAAGGGGTCAGCATCAGGAAAGCTGATGGTGTTGTTACAGGAAACATACCCCAAGAGATGGTTCTTGGATCTCGAGGAAGAAAGAATTCAGGGCGAGTCCATAGAGTAAAGTGAAAGCAAGTTTATTAGGAAAGTAAAGGAATAAAGAATGGCTACTCTATAGACAGAACAGCCCTGAGGGCTGCTGGTTGCCCATTTTTATGGTTATTTCTCAATGACTTGCTCAACAAGGAGTGGATTATCCATGCCTCCCCTTTTTTAGACCGTGTAGGGTAACTTCCTGATGTTACCGTGGTGTTTGTAAACTGTCATGGCACTGGCAGGAATGTAGCAGCGAGGACGACCAGAGGTCACTCTTGTCGCCATCTTGGTTTTGGTGGATCTTAGCTGTCTTCGTTACTGTAGCCTGTCTTATCAGCAAGGTCTTCATGGCCTGTATCTTGTGCCGACCTCCTATCTCGTCCTGTGACTTAGAATGCCTTCACCATCTGGGAATGCAGCCCAGTAGGTCTCAGCCTCATTTTACCCAGCGCCTATTCAAGATGGAGTTGCCCTGGTTCAGACAGCTCTTGACAGTGTAACTCTCAGTTCAAAGCTGAAAGCCACAGGACCCAGGGAGCCTCTGGTCTAAGTCCTGGAGTCCAATGGCCAATCAGCCTGGAGTTCTGATGTCCAAGGCAGCAGAAGAAAAGTCTGTTCCAGCTCTCAGAGACCAATTCCCTTGCTGTGTTTGTTCTCCTTAGGCCCCTGGTTGAGTGATGGTACATGCCAGTATTGAGGGCAGATCTTTCTAACCTAATCCACTGAGACTCACACTGATCTCCTCTGGAAACACCCTCACAGACACACCCAGAATAATGCCTTACCAGGCTTCTAGGTATTCCTGAATCAAGTCAGGTGGATACCTATAAGTAAGGTGTCATTAATTAATTAAGTCCACCCCTTGTCAACCTGGTACCCATAGGCTCTCCTTAAGTCATACTTAATTTAATACAGGCAGTAACAAGGTAATAGGTCCCCTAACATGATGCAACTATCCCGTAATTGTGATTTTTGGGGATTTTAGATGTTGGGGATGTAGACTTTAGGGATTTTAATCTTTAGGGATTTAGACTTTAGAGATTTTGATCTTTCAACATTTGGGATTGTGGCATTTGAGACTGTCTTTGAGGTTATGATCCAAACCCAAAAATATATAATGCTGATAAGAGAGAAGAATCACATACGTTCTTTTTCAATTTCTTTCTTTTTTTTTTTTTTGAGACAGAGTCTCGCTCTGTCGACCGGGCTGGAGTGCAGTGGCCGGATCTCAGCTCACTGCAAGCTCCGTCTCCCGGGTTCACGCCATTCTCCTGCCCCAGCCTCCCGAGTAGCTGGGACTACAGGCGCCCGCCACCTCGCCCGGCTAGTTTTTTGTATTTTTTAGTAGAGACGGGGTTTCACCGTGTTAGCCAGGATGGTCTCGATCTCCTGACCTCGTGATCCGCCCGTCTCAGCCTCCCAAAGTGCTGGGATTACAGGCTTGAGCCACCGCGCCCGGCCTTCTTTTTTAATTTCAAACTGAGACTCTGGGGTGACCTTCAAAATCCTGCTCTCCTTTCTCCTTGAAATTTCAAATTCTCCAGAGTTGTTTCAGTACCTACATGCTCAAGATGTATTTATCGGACTGATGGATGATTGGATGGATGGTAGGATGGATGAAGGTTTGGTGGCTAGATGGGTGGATGGATGGATGAATGAATGAGACTTGGAGAAGGAAGTGAACTCCTTTCTGTTGTTTTATCTTTTTTTTCCTTCTCTTCTGCTTTGGGAAGTGAAGCCCCTCAGCTCTCAGCTGGTCACCTTGTAGCTTTTACCATCCTTATCCTCTGTGCCACCTGCATTCTGCCACTGTTGACATCCCACTCTGCATGGAGTTGGGGTGGAGCCATAGGAGAAAAGAGGTTAAACAAGCAGTAATTTACTTGAGTACAGTCTTTGAGCCAGTGAAGTGCCAGTCATCATTTCCCAGGGGTACTTGTCATCTTGTCAACAACCCACTGATAATGCTCCTTCAATGTGAATATCAAAAGCAGGGAGAGACACTGAATAAAGAGGATGCCTACCCCTCCGGAAGACTGCTGTCCACCTCCAGGCCTGCATGCACACAGCCACGCCCACCTGCACTCCCAGCACCACACCCACACTCATGCCCACACACCCACATGCCAGTGTTTTGGGGTTGGCAGCCTGGACGCTGCTGAGGCAAACATAAGTCATCAAGCATAATTCTCATTCTCTCCTTCTGTCTCTGTTTTAGTTACAGGAACTTGGTCAGTGTAGAGGATTTAATAAGTCCGTGGAAAATTTGTTTCTGTCTCTTGCTACCCACGTGAAAAGTAAGTGCATGCTTCATGATGTGTTTTCCCACCACCCTCCAGACCAGCCGAGCCCACTGGCTAGGGCCTGGCCGGTGATCTCAGTTGGCACTGTCCCTCAGGCCACTCACTTTGTGTCTGGACCCCGGGGAAAGCCACAGCACCTGACCCTTCACCTCTTTCCCAACAGAGCAGGCCTATGGTTCCTTGTGGGAAGGGAAATACCATTTCAGTCTACAAGGCTGGCTCAGTTTCCCCTACTCCCGCCAAAACCTGCCTAGCTCAGCGTCATGGGCAAAGGAGTTTAGACTTCCCTGAGGACCAACAGAGAAAACGTAAAGAGACAATTTCAGGGCTGGACCTGGTGGCTCACACCTGTCATCCCAGCACTTTGGGAGGCCAAGGTGGGTGGATCACTTGAATTCAGGAGTTCGAGACTAGTCTGGCCAACATGGTGAAACCCCGTCTCCACTAAAAATACAAAAATTAGCTGGGCGTGGTGGTGGGTGCTTGTAATCCCAGCTGCTGGGGAAGCTGAGGCAGGAGAATCACTTGAACCCAGGAGGCAGAGGTTGCATTGAGCCGAGATCGCACCACTGGACTACACAGCCTTAGGAGCAGAGCAAGACTCCATCTCAAAAAACAAAAAACAAAAAAAAAAAGAAGAAAAGAAAGATGTAATTTCAGGGAATCTAAAACCAGAACCTTTCAGGCCGGTGGGGCCCAATATCTATCATCTGCATGGAATTACTTCACCTTTCTCCTTTTCTCCTTGGTAAATGTATTTTCTTCGGTTAGCAGTAATCCTGTGATTTTCCGGTGCACGTAACCCGGAACCACTTCCACTTGGAATCTTGTGTCTTTCAGTGTTCTCTTTGTTCAGATACTTTTTTCTCTGTTTATCTTAAAATGCAAGTCCCAGAGGACAGACTCCTTTTCATGCCTCCTAAGATGCCCAGGGCTGGTCAGGTGTTTAGAAAATGTCCTTAGTGGGTTCAAGTGTCCTTAGGCATGGATTTCTCTTTCACTGTGTTTCTGCTCGGCTTCTCTTCATCATCCCCTTTTCTGCAGTTGCGTGCAGATGGTCTCAGTGCTGCACTTGGCTCTGAGACAGTCTCTTTATATGACTTTAATTAGTTGTCCATATTCCTCATGAGCCCTGTCTCAGCTGTCACACGATGACAATGGACGTCAGAGCACTGCTCTTCAGATGAACAAAAACAGTGACTGTCTCATGCAATGGTCTGTTCCTTCCTTGTTCAGAGGGAGGAAGCAGCTGAATTTCATGAGCCTGTTTGCTAAGAGCACTTGGTGGCTTAAAAATCACTGCTCCCACCCTGCGGGGCTCACTGACAGTACCCCCGCTCTGTGCCCCTGAGCCTGGAATTCATTTTCCAGCTGTCCTGGCTGCCTGTTCTCTTGTTGGTGCTGTTTTCCCACCCACACCCCAGTAGGTGCTAGTCCACCCTTCCCTGTATGCCTTTCTAGATGAACAGCCCTTCTCCAAATCTATGTGGCTTCTGTGAATTGTCTCCCACCACTGCCACTGTGGAATCAGTGCCTTGGAGTTAGCCCCAGCCCTGTCATCCCTCAGCCACCGAAATCCAGAGAGGTGGGACACACACGTCAGCACACACGCGCCTTCTGGACGCTCCCAGCCCTACACACAGGTGCATTGGATGTGCTCACAGCTGTCAGACAGCCACCCCATAGCCTGGCCTGTGTACCTGCTCACACACTTGAGGCTAACCAGTGAAATACCCAGTTGGACGACTAGAGCTAGTCCCTGGGTGAGGTGTGGGGGAATTCACAAGAGCAAAGCAGCAAGCATCCCTTCTCAGATGTGGGAAGCTGACTGAAACCACATAACCTATACACACACACACCCCCACCCCAGCACCCACTCCCCCACCCCACCCCCGCCCCTGCCCAGAGGCAGAGATAGAAAACCCCAGCTTTCTGGTTCCTGGGAGTGGTGCTTTGCCTCTGACCTTTCCCAAGTGCTTCCCCTGGTTCTGCGGGAACAGGACACGTGACCACACACACGCCCTTCTCCCGTCCTGTAGGCGCTGACTCCTATTGCTTTGGATTTTGAGCTCTTCTTCTCGTGCCCCTGTTAATCTTTTTGGCTGTCTGTTTCCCCACAGAAGTGGGTGCAGAGGGAAGCCTCATTCTCAGGGGAGGAAGTCAGATTGGCACCTGAGGTCCTCGGGGAGGGGCTGTGGAGGGCCCCAGACTCTGCACTGGCCCGGGTGCTGAAGGGTGGCCTTGCCCCTGAGGGGTTTTGAAAGCTGACCCAGAATTACAACCTCTAGCTGCTGAAGCTGCCCAATGAAGTCAAACCAGTGGAAGGAAATGAGTGACCGCAGCTCTGTGTATTATCAGTACATTTCTAGAAGATGTCAGCTTTGTCGTCCCCCTTAGAAGGGGGAAGAGGAAATGAGAAAACGGCTTGCTTAGAAGCAATCTGCATTTCTTTCTCTTCCTTATCCTTTGTCCCCTAATAATACTGACCCATAAACCTATTTCTTAGGGCCCAAATTTCTCAAGAAGGCCCGTCCTCTCCCCTTGTCTGTGAACTTTAAATGGCCCATATAGGCCCAGGCTTTGGGGTGGGCACGAAGAGATTGCTGGGGGACCAGTTCCTCCTAAGGGGTTAGAAATTAGAGCCCCTCACAGCGTCACAGCCCAGACTGGGATGGGCCTTCTGAGCGTGTCCTTTCCTTTGTCCACTTTGAGGATCTGGTGCGTGCTAGTACCTTGGGAGCTGCTGGCCTTAGAAAGATACCTCAGTGTTTCTTGATGGTCACCTTGAGGATGTAGGGATGGCATTGCTATCAGGGGAGGCTAGGAGGCATCCTGGTGGAGAAGCTGGACACCCCAGCAGTTTCGGGGAGCGTGTGTTGAATTTCCCTCTCTAGAGGAAAAAGTCACTGCAGGACTCACTCCTGGGCAGTGCAGGCGGGAGAGAACCCATACATAGCGAGAGGATAGAGGATTCATGCAATAACATCCCAAGGAGTGGATCCAAAGCCAGCCAGGGAGGTCGAGAGCCACGCTGTCCATTGCAGTAGCCTCTAACCACGTGTCGCTTTTGAGCCCCAGAAATATGGCTGCAAGATGCACTACCAAAGTAAACACACTGGGTTTCAGAGGCTTGGAATCCAACAAAAGTAAAATATTTCATGGATAACTTTAATATTGATGACATGTTTTAATATTTTGGATATATTGTGTTAAACTAAATATAGAATTAAAATTAATTTGGCCGGGCTCAAGCCTGTAATCCCAGCACTTTGGGAGGCCAAGGTGGGTGGATATCTTGAGCTCCTCAGGAGTTCGAGACCAGCCTGGCCAACATGGTGAAACCCTGTCTCTACTAAAAATACAAAACTTAGCCGAGTGTGGTGATACACACCTGTAATCCCAGCTGCTTGGGAGGCTGAGACATGAGAATTGCTTGAACCAAGGAGGCAGAGGTTGCAGTGAGCCGAGATCACATCATTGCACTCCAGCCTCGGCAACAGAGTGAGACTCCATCTCAAAAATAAATAAAATAAATAAATAAATAAAATAGAGTTAATTTTACCTGTTTTTTTTTTAACTTTTTAAATGTGGCTACTATAAAAATTTAAAATAATATGTGTGACTTGCATTGTCTCTCTACCAGACAGCACAGATCTAGAGACAGTTTTAAGGTCCTCGTTTGGAGGAATGGGGGTCTCAAGGGAAAATGAAACCATCTTTGAAGGATGAAACCATCTTCAAGGTGGTTCTCTCACTTCTGTGTGTGGCTTCCTTCCTTCGAACTTTATTCATCTTTATTCTAGACCACTATTACACTGTAAAAACAAATTTGTTTACAGTCATCTTTCCAGGGTTTGCTTACTATAATTGTTATGAGGACACCCCAAATCTTATTTTTACCTCACTTCAGAGAGTCACAAGAAATGGTGTTAAGTTGTAACATCTTTGTAAGGAACCCCTAGAAAGCCAGCTTGTTTGGTAGGCTGCCACCTTCGTGTTTGGACGAGTGTACACACATATGTGTGACCTGGAACGCAGGGGAGCTTGGGTGGATGATTTCCCTTCACCTCACCCTGACTATGGCCCGGGTGACCACAGCGGGACCTTGAAGGAAGCCAGCCTTCTCCTGCCCTGATCCAGCACACTGTCTGCTCACCCTCCCGACGCCTCTGCACTTGGTGAGGGGATGTGCCACCCTTGCGCCTCTGTGCACTTTGCCCTCTTGGGACCTTGCGACCTACTGTCTGTGGGTTCAGGGAACCCCAAAAGAGGCTCCCACAAGTCTCAGCAAAGCTGCGTGTTCCCACCCGTCAACCCTTGTGTTTGCCTTTTAGAGCTCTCCAAATCCCAGAATGACATGGCCTCTGAGAAGCATCTTCTTGCCACGGGCTCTGGGCAGTGTGCGGGCCAGACAGAGAGACGGAGCCAATCTGACACTGCGGTCAACGTCACCACCAGGGTACCCTGAGCCCCACAAGGCCTCCATGCTGTTCACCTTCATGTTGTCTTCCAGAACTTTCTAGCCTGCCTTCTCTGTAGATTTATGTTTTCTTTGGTTTTATGGAAAAACAGCCATCAGAAAAACATCATTACCAGTCAGCGCTTCTATTAGGGCAGGCCTGGCCCAAGGCAGGTCAGGATTCAAGGTCAGTCTGGAAAACTGTTCAGTACAGGGAAAGGCTTCCACCTAATCACCAGCCCCTGAGGCTCCTCTGTGTCCACAGAGCTCCCTGCCGGCTTCAAGCCTGCACCAAAGCCCAAGGGCTTCCTGCAGGGCCCACACCTGCCGAGTTAGCCCTTGAGTCTGCAAGACCAGTGGCCTCTGGTTAAAATCTGTCCTGGCCTCTGATGGAAACTATTGAAAACATAAAGCCTGTGGGGCGCTCTTCCCCTGCTGTCCACACCACAAGTGAGAGCTTCCCTAGTAAAGGCATCTAGGGAAATAATTATTCCACCTTCCCACCAGGACTAACCCAGCCTGGAGTGAATGCTTCGGGTATGAGAGAAAGCCAACCTTGGAACTGGAAAACCTGCATTCTAGTTCAGCTGAGGTGCCTTGGCTGGGCAGGTGCCACTAGCTGTTGCTTGCAGAGTTGATGTGACTGCCCTGGTAGGCTGGACAGAACGGGTGTCCCTTCTCTGCTGCTGTGGACTCCACTCAAGCTGTCCCCAGACAGACTGTCCTTTAGGCGAGGGTGTGAGGTCAGTCCCCCTCTCCCGCTGGAACTTGCACACAGCCTCTTGAGAGTTCACGTCTTGCCTCCCACTCGAGCCCGTGTACCTACCCCTCTATAAAATGAAGATGATAATTGATACCTGTTCTGCCCACAGCACAAGGTTTTGTAAACACCTAATGAGATAATATAGTATCTTGATTTGCTATGTAAGTCATCTAAATATTTTATCTAAATTGCCAGCATTTACTATGATGTGCTGGACTCTGTACTAGAAGCTTAACTAAGCTATCTCATTTTATCTTCATAACCACCCTCTAGGGTAGGTATTGCATGCAACCTCATTTTATGTGTAAAGAAATGGAGGCTTAGAGAGATTAAGTCACATGCCAAAGGTTGTGTAGCCAAAAGAGGACTGAACTCTGGGCCAGTGATTCCCAGCTCTTATGAGTATGGGAGTCACTGGGGGTCTTAAAATGCAGATTCCGAATCAGTAGCTGCGGGGTGGACGTGAGATGAGGAGCTGCAGATGCATTTTTGGTGAGCTCCTGGGATCTGGCGATGTCTATGCTGTGAAGTTCTCAGACCACACTTTAGGAATGAGGTGTCTAGACGGTTTGAAATGTATTTGGCAGGTGTTTGAAATTCTATAACACAAGTGTCAGCTCCTGCCAGCTTCCCAGGGTCTACAGAAGTGCCATCTGAACTCCCTCGGGGGATCACTCCTTCTCCTAGTGAAACAGGCGGAGGGGAGGGTTAGCAGCCCCTTATGAAGCCCTGTGTTCCACACATGGTGGCAGCATTTTTTCTTACCTACTTTATCACATTTAATGCTTACAAAAATACTGTGATAGATATTGTTACTCCCATGATAAAGATCGGCCGAGCCTGGTAGCCCATGCCTGTAATCCCAGCACTTTGGGAAGCCGAGGTGGGCAGATTACTTGTGCCAAGGAGTTTGAGACCAGCCTGGACAACATAGGGAAACCCTGTCTCTACAAAAATGCAAATATTAGCTGGGTGTGGTGGCACATGTCTATAATCCCAGCTACTCAGGAGACTGAGGTGGTAGGATCTCTTGAGCCCAGGAGGTCAAGGCTGCAGTGACCCATGGTTGCACCACTGCACTCCAGCCTGGGTGACAGAGTGAAACCCTGTCTTAAATAATAATAATAATAATTAAAAATTTTAAAAATTGGCCAGGCACCATGTAATCCCAGCACTTTGGGAGGTTGAGGTGGGTGGATCACCTGAGGTCAAAAGTTCAAGACCAGCCTGGCCAACACGGTAAAACCCTGTGTCTACTAAAAATACAAAAATTAGCCAGGCATGATGGCAGGTGCCTGTGATCCCAACTACTGAGGAGGCTGAGGCAGGAGAATCGCTTGAACCTAGGAGGCGGAGGTTGCAGTAAGCCGAGATCGTGCCATTGCACTCCAGCCTGGGCGACAAGAGTGAAACTCTGTCTCAAAAAAAAAAAACAAAAAAAAATCTCTCTCTCTCTCTCTCTCTCTCTCGAACCTTAGTTTCACTGAGAGGTTAACCAACATGCCTAATGTCACATACTGAATGAAAGATAGAGCCAGGAGCAAACCCAGGATTTGACTCTGAATTCTAAACTCTATGTTCCTGTAAGAAGGACAAATGAGGACCGCTGAAGAAAGAGGGTTCAGGAAGGGGATTGTGGAAGTATGAGTAATTCTCTTACTCGCCTGAGTCACAGGAAACCACTCAGAGTCTAACATTGACTTAGGGTTAACCAGATGCCTGGCATTATTCTCAGCGTAATGCCCCTCAGAGGTATTCAGCCTTCGTTATCCTTAAGACAGCCCTATGAAATTTGCACTGTTCCTGTCCCCATTGAAGACGGGGACACTGGGGCCAAGAGATGACCAAGCGCTAGGTGGAGCCTGCTCCAGAGACCAGCCACACCCTGCCCCTACCCCTGAAGTGGGATGCACTTCCCATTTACACCATGATGTGCTGTGTGGTGGCACATCCCGCGCACCACAGGCTGGGCTTGTGGCGTTCTGCGTGAGGATGGCCCGTGAGTCCTCGGCACGCCCCCTCCCCTGCTGCACGTGCACATGGCCCAGAGCCTGGCCGGGGTTGTCTGATGGGCTCTGGGAGCTCAGGGATAGAAGTGGTGGGATACAGGGGAGACAGTGTGGGGAGAGCCCATCTAAGTAGACATTGTTATGCCTGTGTCCACTTCTCAGCCATGCCCTTGGCAGGATATGCTTCCAACTTTCTACAGGCCTTCTCTCTCTCCACCTTGAGGATGTGGCTGGGTTGGTTTCTTTGTTTTGAGACCAAGTCTCGCTCTCTTGCCCAGGCTGGAGTACAATGGTGCTATCATGGGTCACTGTAGCCTTGATCTCCTATGCTTAAGTGATCTTCCCACTTCAGCCTCCCAAGTAGCTGAGACTACAGGCATATGGCACCATGTCTGGCTGATTTTTTTTTAATTTTTATTTTTAGTAGAGATGGGGGTCTCACTATGTTGCCCAGGCTGGTCTCAAACTCCTGGGCTCAAGCAATCCTCCCACCTAGGCCTCCCAAAGTGCCAGGATTACAGGTGTGAGCCACCACACCCAGCCCGATATGGCTGTTTTAAGGGACAATTTAACCAAATATTTATAAAGTACTCATCTTTGATAGTATGATTTATAAATGCTAAATAACTATTGGGTTAAAATATAAGGAGTACATCTCTATTTATTCATTTTTATTTATGTTTGAGACAGAGTCTCATTCTGTTGCCCAGGCTGGAGTGCAATGGCACAGTCTTGGCTCACTACAACCTCTTCCTCCCCAGTTCATGATTCTCCTGCCTCAGCCTCTTGAGTGGATGGGATTACAGGCATGCACCACCACACCCGGCTAATTTTTGGATTTTTAGTAGAAATGGGGTTTCGCTGTGTTGCCTAGGCTAGTCTCAAACTCCTGAGCTCAATTCGATCTGCCTGCTGTAGCCTCCCAAAGTGCTGGGATTACAGGTGTGAGCCACCGCACGTGGCCCTGGAGTACATCTTTAAATAGAACATTCATCAGACTGCAGTTACACATGCCTTAGCTGGGGAGCTCACCAAAATTCCTCTCATTTTCATCAGAGCATGTTGGAGCATCTTGTCAACGTTAATTATAGAACACGGTGCCCCTGCTTTGGAAGTAGGGGATGTTGGTGTCCACCTTGCAAGTGGCTACACTGAGGCACAGAAGTAGTGGATAACTTTTTTTTTTTTAGAGACAAGGTCTGTCTTTGTCACCCGGGCTGGAGTGTAGTGGTGCAAACACGGTTCATTGTAGCCTCAACCTCCTGGGCTCAGGTGATCCTCCCACCTCAGCACCCCCAAGTAGCTGGGACTAGAAGGGTGCACCATTCCACCCAGCTGATTTTTGTATTTTTTCTGGAGATAGGGTTTTACCATGTTGCCCAGACTGGTCTTGAACTCCTGGGCTCAAGGGATCCTCCTGCCTTAAAATCACGCGGTGACTTGGAGATGTTAACTGAGAAAACAGCTCAGCATCTTTTCCACACCGCTTCTCTGACTGTTAAGTTTGAACCACATATTCTGCAAACACCCCTTCAAAAATGCTCACTTAAGCATCTGGGCCAGGATTCTTCAATAAGTGAATCTTGCCTCTCCTCTCTTGTGCGTTCCACTGGGATTTTATTGTATGTGTTATGAATGTACAGTATTGACCTATATTAGCCATAAAAACATGCACCTGTTAAACAGGAAGAATGCCTAAAAACCGTCAGCAGGGGCTATCTCTGGAGGGGGGAACTGAGGACAGAGGTGGAGGAAGAAGATTTTCTTTCTTTTTTTTTTTGAGATAGAGTCTCACTCTGTCACCCAGGCTGGCGGTGGAGTAAGTGATCTCGGCTCACTGCAACCTCCTTCTCCCAGGTTCAAGCCATTTTCCTGTCTCAGCCTCCTAAGTAGCTAGGACTACAGGCATGTGCCACCACGTCCAGCTAATTTTTGTATTTTTAGTAGAGACAGGGTTTCACCATGTTGGCCAGGCTGGTCTTGAACTTCTAACCTCAGGTGATCTGCCCCCCTCAGCCCCTCAAAGTGCTGGGATTACAGGCATGAGCTGCTGTGCCTGGCCAGCTATTCCTTTTTAACAGCTACTTTTTTTCTTCCTTTTTTTTTTTAGACGGAGTCTTGCTCTGTCGCCCAGGCTAGAGTGTGGTGGCGCGATCTCGGCTCACTGCAACCTCCGCCTCCCAGGTTCAAGTGATTCTCCTGCCTCAGCCTCCTGAGTAGCTGGGACTACGGGCATGTGCCACCACGCCTGGCTAATTTTTGTATTTTTGGTAGAGGCAGGGTTTCACTTTGTTAGCCAGGATGGTCTCGATCTGCTGACCTCGTGATCCACCTGCCTTAGCCTCCCAAAGTGCTGGGATTACAGGTATAAGCCACTGTGCCCGGCCTAACAGCTACTTTTTAGGGCTTTTAGTTCATGCTGCCAAGTTGCCCTCCACTGAGGTTGACTCAGTTTACCTGACCACTGACAGGACAGTGACCTGTTTTCCAGCACTCTTGCCAACACTCAACTTTGTACCTTTTTTTTTCCTCAAAATGTTTATTATAGTAAAATACACATAAGACTTACCATCTATGCCATTTTAAGTGTATAATTCATGGCATTGAAAACATTCCTAATGTTCTGCACCCATCACCACCATCCATCTCTAGGACTCTCTTCATCTAGTAAAACTCAACTTTATAATTTTTAACATTTGCCAATATAATGGGCAGTTATTTAAAATGTGCCTTTCTTTAACTGCAGGTAAGCTTTTTCTCCTACTTTTCCCCCTGTTTGGCACACCTTCATTCTTGAACCCCTCTCATTGGATCTGCTGGCTCTTCCAGCCTCTGGCTCCTTTGCTGTGGCTTTGGTGGACACTTCTGTCACACCGTTAGTGTCCCCTCAGACAACATCGCACATCCCCTGTGTTCGTGATCTGTGTCCACGTGTCTGCAGGTCTGGGATGTGCTTTCTGTTTAACCATCACCAGCTGCTCCAGGGGGAAAGCCTTCCCTCTCAGGCTTACCCCAGCCAGCCTCAGCACCCTCTCGGATAATTGCAGCCCCACTGAAGACCATCCTAGAGGCTTGCATGCTGAAGATACTCTCCCTGGCCTCTTTGCCATTGACCTGGCTGGTGCTTCCATTTGAATGGTGTCTCTGTCTTCCTACTAGCTAGTGAGCCCTCGGAGGATGGACGTTTCATCTTCTCCTCTTTCTCCTCTCTTCCTCCCCTTCTACCAGCCCCCAGAATTTCGCGTGGTGGCGCAAATATAGTGTTGCCTAACAAATAAATGTCTGTAGGAATTACGTTGGCATTCTGGGGATGTAGAACATCAATAACGCGGAGGTAATCTTTTCTTTCGTTTGTTCTGTCGTATTCTCACTTAGTTTTTTCTTCCTGAAAATTATGACTGTGGGGCAACAGTTGTATTTCTGAGTTCTGCTTCCAACCCAGCACCAAAAACTAAAGTATCCACTTGGAAAGTTGGTATTTTCAGCCATTAAGAGGTTTTCCCACCTTGCCCGTTGTGTTCATTGCGCTCTACGGGCACTGTCCGATGGAACTTTCTGCAGGGATGGGAATGATCTTTATGTGAGCTGTCCAAACAATGACCATGGCTGCATGTGGCCACTGAGCATTTGAAATGGGTCGAGCGCAACTGAGAAGTTAATTTTGTTTGATTTCAAGTAATTTGAGTAGTCACGTGTGGCTAGTGACTACCATACTGGAAAACACAGCTGTATACATCACAGAAGTGTCAGCTTGGCTGTGCGCGGTGGCTCATGTCTGGAATCCCAGCGCTCTGGGAGGCTGAGGCAGGTGGATCACTTGAGGTCAGGAGTTTCAGGTCAGCCTGACCAACATGGTGAAACCCCATCCCTACTAAAAATACAAAAATTAGCCAGTGTGGTGGCACATGCCTGTAGTTCCAGCTACTTGGGAGGTTGAGGCAGGAGAATTGCTGGAACCCGAGAGATGGAGGCTGCAGTGAGCCAAGATTGTGCCACTGCTCTCCAGCCTCCAGCCTGGGTGACAGAGCAAGACTCCATCTCAAAAAAAGAAAGAAAAAATAAAGAAGGGCCAACAATTAGCAAAGTATTTTTAGAAAATTTAGAGACGTATTTTGATTGTTCCCTTTTTATAAGCATCTTAGAGCTAAAACTCTGCTTATCAGGCCAGTTATTATATAACAAGTGATTAAATGCCAGGACCATTTATTAAGGCTAAAATTTGGACTTCTTTAAGACTTTTACTAATCCATGAGTGATCTACCCATTACTGTTCATGACTATCCCAAAGCTGGATGTTGTCTGTCTCTGGGCCCTGTGTGCGTGCGTGTGCGTGCGTGCGTGTGCATACGTGTGTGTGCGCGCACACGCATATACCAAATGCAAGTGTGTCCTCCTACTCAGAAGTTTGCGTATTAGTAATATCAAGTAATAGATGCTTGCTGAAGTCACCACATTGGAACAAAACCAAACAGGATGGAGACTATAATATTAATTTTTGTTTTTCCTTCTCCAGAAGGTCAGTGCACCAGATATTCTGAAATCTCTCAATCAAGAGGATCCCAAATGTTCTACTAACCCTATTTTGAAGCAACAGAATCTCCCATCCAGTCCGGCGCCCAGTGCCATATTCTCTGGAGGTTTTAGACATGTAAGTCTCATTCCAGTGCTCTTTTTTGTTTGTATGTTTGTTTGAAAGCATAATATACAAGTATTTATTTCAATTACTCCTATTTGAAGGTCCTTATTTTTGGAGAACGGCAAGGCATTTTATTATCCATCCTTCCATTCCTTATAAGGCTTCCACAGGTTTTGGTAAAGTCGCATTATCCTCAGGCCTGTTGTTTTGGAGTTACTCCAGGTGTGTCAGCAGATTCATTATCAATCCACTCCACCAGTGCTCTGTAGCCTTCTACAGTGCTGAAGTCAGTAGCGCTCTGCAACTCGCGTAAACAGACAGGGCAAGAGGGCACCGGTCAGCTTCCTCCAGGTGGTTGGGGCCTTGCGTTAGGCGTGGAAGCTACCAACAGTGTCACATTCCACGTGTGCGTCCAGTCTCATGGGTTAAAATCTTACGGGCTCAATGTACGGAAACACTAGTTCTTTCCAGAATGTAATAGTTATCAAAAATTGAATAGTCAGTTGAAAATGTTTTCTGGCACTTCCTCCCTTTGCCTTCATAGCACAAGCTTTAAAAATCACTGCCATACTTAGCAAAGCTGAATATCCCTACACCGTCTGTCAAAGAGAGCCGTCCAAAGACAAAGTTTCAGGTGTCTCCTGGGTAAAGATCAATCATTGTTATTGACACAGGCATTTTCAGGTTTCTTCTTTGTTAAGAACTTCACGATGTCCCCTGCATGAACTTGCAGGCTTTGTTTGTGAGTTATCATTGACTCTAAAGGAACACCTCATTGCAGAAACAGGAACCGTTCTAGGAGTTTTGCTGTCAAGCCATAGAAATATCCCTCACAGTAAGCCTTGAGCCATTTAATAGATTCTTCACTGATAATTCTGCTGTTTCCTAGAGATCCAGTGGACTGAATATAAATACTGCATTTGTCTGGAGAGAGTATCTTTCTGTAAGGGCCACTGAAGAACTGTTCAAAGTCTTGGGGAGCCTCTGGATGGGAAGGGTTCTAATATGGTTGGGAATGCAAAGTAATGGGTCCAAAGAGATCAATGGCTGGCTGGAAGTCTTCGTTCATACAGCACTGTTTTCCCCAGCATCTAATTTCCCATACTGTGACACAAGGCCTGGGTTCCTTGAGATGAGAGCTGTTTTCAGTGTTTGTTCAGAGTGCCGTACTGGTTGCATAATGACAGATCTCTTCTGTTAACATCGTGTTCCTAGGTTGAACTTT